TAGGGATTTTGAAACTGCACCGAACATTGCATGAAAAACATATCTTTCATAACTCTAAACATCACTTTTTAAATTAGAGATTGATCTATCAGGCAGCTAATTTCACATAATTATTATTCATTTTAAGATAATACATGAGAATTACTAAATTACATAGTAGTCTATGTAGAGATATGCATATTTTCTTAGCGCCGTCATCTAATTGAGAAGCTTCGCTCTCAAAGCCGTGGGTCAGCCCAGCAGAGCCTCCTGCACTCAGATGAAGGCAGCCGCGCCGCCTCCCCAGGGCAGGGCTGCGTGGCAACCCATCCACGAGGAACTTGTGCTTTTTGTGTAAGCAGGGACTTTCAAAACAGTGGTTTGCCACTGGTGTGGTGGTGTATTCCATTCGCCAGGGCAGGCTTCTGTGAAGGCCCAGTTTCTCCAAGGGAAAGAAATCAGGGGACTCGGGAGCTGTCCCTGGAGGGAGCCACTGCCTGCCCTCACGCTCTGGCTGGCACCTCCTGCTCCACACGCCGGCTTCCTACCCAGCAACCCAGGAAGGAAAGAAGGGAGGGAGGGAGGAGGGAGGGAGGGGTGAGCAGACTCAGTACCAGGAATCCCCCGGACACCCTGCCGCCCAAGGCGCCCAGAGCCTCCACTGCAGGGTGCCAGCCCTGGGAGGTGCACGCAGGAGGGGTGCCAGGCCGTGGAGCCGAGCTGTGGACGGCTCTCCGAGGGGACCTGACCTCTCCCAGCACACACGCGGTCAGGGACAGACCCAGGGGCCCAGTCACTGCAGAAACCTCCTTCAGATACAAGGTGAAACTCATGTGCCCAACGGTCGGGTCTCTTTCCGCTTATACTGCGGAGGGCAAAGTGGACGGGAGAGGGAGGGCAGAGCACAGATACACTGAAACTGGCCGTGTTGGTAATCGCCGAGGCGGCACACAGATCTCGCTGTGCCACTCCCTCTGCTTTTGTGCTCAAAGTTTTCTGCAATTAAACGGCAGAACTGCACACCCTGCCCTGGAAGCCTGACAGGCAAACGATTACGTACGTGTACTGTGTGTGGCACGTGGAGCTATAATACTACCAAGTCTGCCCTGTCGGATACGAAGAAAATAGTAAGGAAGTTTGTCTACATGACAAAAACGGCCTTTAGATCTTTTCCCACTGTGATGAAAGTTTGGCGCAGTATTTCTGGTGCATAGTTTCAGCGGTCTTGGGGAAACGCTGAGGAATGGCCCAGCTCCTCTTTCCACCTGAGGGGCCTCCACAGGACCCCCCACTCACGCCGATGAGGTCTGAGGAACCTAGGAGAGTCTTGGCACGAGGGCCAGACAATTGGAGAGTGCAGCTGGGCATCCTTCCCACGCCAGCCGCTGCCAAAAGACAGCGCAGCCCCCCACCAGGGGTAGGATCCTCTGGGCAGCGTGTTTTCTGCACTTCTCGTTGGCTGGTGATGAGTTCGTTGGGTCTTAGGTTCTGGCTGAACAACTCTCACGATTTTGTGTTTCCCTAAAAATCTCATTCCTTACCATGGATGCAAACATTTCTTTAGAGGACTTTTCCAGGTCTTTGTCAGTTCAGCAATTTGTGACTTGACCTAAACCTTAGTCTGTGTATATCAAGTACTCAGTGTGAAATGAGTTGGAATTGTCAGTTTACACTGAGGCCCCTCATGGTGAAGAGACGCATTGAAACAAGAGTGGATCCGAGTAAAGGAAGTGACCCTTCTGGCCCAGCCCCCTGCTGTCCCACTCAGTGGACACCGTCAGGTTGGTCTGTGGATGTCTGAAATGAGAGGTTTTAGGCTGGATGTGGTGGAGCTTGCTTATAGTCCCAGCTTCTCAAGAGAGTCGAAAGGCCGGTGCCAGCCTGGGCAACTGAGTGATTCCCTGCCTCTGAATGAAGAGCTGGGGAGTAGCTCAGTTACGAGCACTTGGGAGGCTCTGGGTCACTCCCCGGTACCGTGAGAGCCCGAAAGACAGCTTTGTACGACAGGGTCCTGGGTGGCAGGAATTCTCTTTCCAAGGGCATTTGTCACTTTCTCATGGTGCTAACAATGCAGCTTGTTGGACTCTAGCCAGCGTCTCCTTTGCAAATACCATCATCACCACCATCACACGGCTTGATGTGAAAATACACGATTCCAAATTTTAATAATGTTAATCTGAAAGATGCAAAGCCAACGTTTTTATTCAATTAAAATGTGAGATGACATCAATACTAGACCAAAAATTTGTACTGTCACAAAGTCAAAACTGACTGAGCTGTTCACTTAAAATTACACTTTAACTCTAGTATTCGTACTGTGCGTTTCCTAGTTCCCAGCGGACAGCACTCCCATCCATCCACTTACAGAAAGGGGAGTTTCCGATTTAAATGTTATAGGAAGAGGAAATCTAATTTTGACCTGAGTCAAATTGATGCCAAAGGGAATTTATGGTTTTCTGTACTTTATAAGCTATAATTGTGACTACAGTTTCCTTCATCTAAAAAAGCTATTCCACCCTGAAATTTTCAAACAAAAATAGTTTGCAGAAACATTGGCAAAGGACTTCTTCAAAGGAAACTAACTAGCTTGAGTTGAAAGGAAAGAGAAGAGAGATGGTGGACATTTTAAAAAAGATTATGTTTTTCAATATTTTGGGCACAGTATGTCTAATTCCTACTTTTTAAAAACACCTCTCAATTCAAATTTGAGAGATTAGTAATTTCAATGTGCTTAAACATGATTGTATACAACTGTAAGAAAAAATGATGTGAAAACTCATTAAGTGTTAAATAGAAACAAAGTTATTATCAGTTAATGACATAACTACTAAAATAGATTGCTCCATATTGTGGAATTAATAAGATGTGTAGTGATACAAAATCCAGTTACTGAAAGTATTTTGCCAAAGTATTTGTATTGGAACATTTGACAGTATGACTTCATACTTAATTCCAATAAGTAAGTTAACTTGGTTGCCCTCAACACTGTTTCTTATGTTCATATGTTGAATTTAAAATCATGACTAATGCTGATTTTAACTGAATGATTACCTGTGCTGTGACGGTTGGCCGCCAGTTAATGTGGGACATACCAGGGTTCCTGTTTTAAAAGTCTGCTTCGCGTATCAGTGGGTGAGAGGTTGGGCAAGTCAGAGGTGCCCAGTCCTCTGCTACTGCAGGTCCCAGTGTGTGTACGGATCGAATTCCTTATAGATAGAACCCTTTCGCACACGTGTGTAAATTTTAATTTACACTCCATCCCCTTTAAACCCTACTGATTATTGCATGTGATCTTAACTTCAAAACCATGTTTGACCAAGATAGCATAAGGGAACCCACTAACTTGGTCTGAAGTATTTCTAGTTATCTTTGAATTAAAAGTTATCAGGTACTGACATGACAGCAGCCGTCATAAAACCAAGAGATGTCTGAATCGTCAAGAGAACTTTGTTACTGAACAGAGAGAGGTCATTGCTCTGCTAAGTGGCTATCCTAATGTTACAGAGGAAGTTCAGAGTTTCTGCATTTCTAGGAGAAAATAAATACAATAAGACAAAGGAATTGGGAAAGATGTACAGCAAAGCATCACATCTTCTGAGGAGCAGCGTCTGTGTCGGGAAGGCTTAGTCATAGGTGGAGGCAGCACAGATATTTCCCAATGTCACAGCCTTCCCAAAACACCCCACCAAAGGAAATCGGCCAAGCAAACCCAAAATAAAAACAAAAAAGAGGTCGAGGTGGCCTGAAGAGTCACCACACCAGTGACAGCCATTGTGAGTAGTCAGCAGAAAAATGTACCCTGGAGAGAGACCCAGCACGAACAGGCTGCGGGCCACCGCGGGGAAGAGGGGCCGTGTTCCCCTCCTCAGGACAGGCCGCTGAGCCACAGGTGATTACAGTCTCTGCAAGATGAAAGCTTCTGCGAATTAGAACCTTGAGTCTGGAATTGTGGAATTAGAAGCTCTGAAATGTAACGGAAATATTTATAAGTAAAAGATCTTTCTGTGGTGGTGTATGTGGAAAATAAATGGAATTAAGAAACGCTTAAAAACAGATAGACGTTCTAGCTTGCATTACTAAGGGGCCACGTAGAAAGGGCCTTGTTAGAGCTCTGAACTGTGAGGGCTGGCTCTGCTCAACTTTCCGCTGGCGTCACTTTTGGCCTGAGGATGTGGCTGCTGAGCTGCTCCTACCCCAGGAGACAGTTCGTGGGATCTTCATTATGAGGGAACACCTCATCCAGCGCCTGCCTTTTACAGAGAGGGGACACGGGCAGAGAGGGGAGCCTTTGCCCGAGGGTGCGCACTCGTACCTGGTGACAGACTGTGTACAAATATGGCTTCTCCATCTCAGGGCTGAAGTGCTGCCCACCATGGAGCATTTGGCCGATCGGGGACACGGGTACCGTCACTCAGGGCAGGAGAGCATACTGTTCATAGCCCCAGTGGCCTTCCTGGAGGCGGCTGGGGTTACACAGCGCCACATCCTGTTCCAGCAGTGTCCTCCCCGCCGATAGGCAGGCACAGCAGGAGAGTGAACTCGGGGTCAAAACAGTAAGCGAAAGTTGCAGGGAAAGTTCTCCTTCTAACACCCGAGACTTCTCTCTGCCTCCCGGGGGTGCTGTGACTTAGAGAGAATGGAGCTTGGACTCCCGGGTGCCCCACAGACTGCACCGGAGTCCCTGTGCATCAGTGTGGAGGGGCCACAAAGCCCGGCTGGGTTCATCTCATGGAGAAGCCATCCTGCCTGTCAGTCCAGAAAGGCAAATGAGAATTTAATCAGTTAAACAGTTCCCTGTAACATGAGACTGTGATTACAGGTGTTAGTAGAGGTGCTTTTCCCATATCAGAAATCCCACGCAAGCTTCTTATACTGGTCTCTGCATTTGATGCTCCTGGTATTTTGTGGTGAACATTTTCTTTTAAGTCCGAAAGAAAAAAAAAATTCACATTTAAAGAAGGAAGAGATCTCAAATGCACTATAACTGACATCATCTCCTTTCCATTTTTCTCTCCTTTTAGATTAGCAGAGGAGTACATCAGACACATACTAGGCCAGATGCCAGGTGGCTAAGGATTGGATCAACGTTTTTCAAAGACTGGTGCTAGATATCATCATAGGGTAAGTTTCCTGGAAAAATGTAATTGCAGTTGCATTTTTATAAGGAAAAATTGGTAATCAAATTTTAAAAATTTGACATCATAGACAGGAGTGATTATTGATATGACTGTCTAAAAATATTCCTGTTTCTCAATTTATCAGATTAAAGACTCGTGTGGTTTCTATATAGTGTTATAAGTTTTCACACTTTCCTAATTTTGCCACTTTGCTCTTCCAGCACTTTCAGTCCAGGAGGAAATCTTAATTCAAAGTTCTATCTTGATTCGAAGTTTGCATTCAGAATGGGCCTCCTGCGTTAGACGGCACCGATTCTGGCAGGCCTTCGTCAGGACCGTCCTCTCCTCCCGTCCGTGATGGCAGTGTGCACGGTGTAACGGGATGGCAGAGATGAAGCCTTCCCAACACCGGACAGCAAACTGTGGCTGAACACCGAAACTGAGGCCAGATTTCACTTTGGCCTACTTCAGAGTTTGGGAGAAGATTTCAGTAAGCAAAATGTATTTTGAAAAAATGGTTTCTGAGTTCCTTTTTAGTTCTTTTCTGGAGAACCAACTAGACATTTTACAGTGAGATCAATGAATTCCCCTTAAGATCCACAAGATGGTGCTATGAAGCGGCATTTAGAAAAATTTTAAAAATCATTTGGCTTCTAGAAGCACACTTTGAAGCAGGATCAAGTCAAACATCATTTAATGACATCAGCTACGGATGAACCTGTCTTTAAAAGGCTGGGGCGAAGCAGACGTGTTGACAGAAAGGGCACCTTTACTCCTAATGCTACTTCTAAATACTCTATTTTTCAAATTATACATGTTAACTTTGCTTTCGATCTCAGGTTTTAAAATTACTTTATGAGAACACTAAGGGTTGAATTTGGATCTCAGCAAGGTTAAATCGCAATGGAGAAATACTGAACTGAAACGGAGAGCACGTTTCTAATCCCTGCTCTCCACGACATCTCTGCATGGGGTCAGGCTCTGTCCCTCCTGTTTCTCGGCAGGCGGGTGTCTGCCCCAGGGGGTGTGGCAATGTCCAGATGCAGTTCTGGGGTCACAGCTGGGTGGGCGCTCAGGGTGCTGTTGTGGGTGAGGCCCGGGATCTGCTCCTAGTCCTGCAGGGCGAAGGAAGTGCCCCGACCTCAGCCCTCGAACGCCAGGCTGAGCACCTGACCCCTTCACTCATTCCCTGCTGGTTGTCTGTCTGTTCACTAACTTTCATTCCTGTGACACGGAGTTAGCCATCTGTCAGTGCATTCATTCATTTCCTAGCACATTGTTACAAAGTGTCTACCATGACTCAAGATTGGACCCAGCTTTAGAGATGAAAAGAATGATCTCATTCCTATTCAGTCTAACAGGGGAGAGAGATGCTTAGGAAATAGCATAATAAACGATCTGTATTTTGCTCCCAAGTGTGAACATTCTGGGAACAGGGACATCTAGCAGTGAAGCTTGGGCCAGCTGTGAGGACCCGGCAGGCTGCCCACGAGCTGTGGGTTGGGAAAGGGGCGGGAAGGGACCCGTGAGGTGGTGCGCAGCACACAGCCCAGCCGGGGCCAGGGAGGCCCGCTTTGCTCAGTGTGCATCACTGTGGACGCGAAAGAGCATCCCAGGAGAGCCGGATGAGAAGACCCTAAAAGTTAACAGGAGAATGGGAGAGGGCGGCGGCAGCACGTCCCCTCTGGGGTCTGGGCTTCACAGCCTTGGGGCTTTGGGGAGCCCCATGTCCAAGTTTCTTTTAGCTGTAAAACTTCATTCTGTTAGTCTAAAGCGAACCCCTTAGACTGCATAGTGACTATCAGCAACGGTCACAGCTATGAAAAAAATATCCTTTTTAATAATATAAAGTTATGCTGTCACAGATATTTACTTTCATTATAATGAATAAAATATATTTTTATTGATCTATTTGGGTTTTTTTAAAAAGCTGGACAGACCTCAGAAGATCAAGTCAGGTTTGGGTCTTGTGGATGGTTCATAACTATGCTAAAACCAGGAAGGTCGCCCCAGGGTGAATTCTTAAAATACTTGTCCCTCAGCCCTCTCCAGTCCTGTGCTTTTACCAATAAGCTCTAGAAATCTAATTAGGTCTGAGTAGTTTAATGTATGTTTTATAATTCGAATGATTACTTTAGAAGTTTGGAGAAATAAAAGTTTGGAGAGTCTTTTGTGTCTTGCATTCATCAGTAAAAATCCAAACATTAACAGTTGCATGAATTGTGGGTAAACTCAAATTCCTAATGATCAAATGAATGTTTGATGTAATTTTTCTGATGCCCTGGACAGATTTTCATTATGTTGTACTGAGCACCTCCCCAGCCATCTCTTGCTTTGAGGCAGGCTTCCCTAAGTTACCCAAGCAGGGCTCATGCTTGCCATCCTCCTGCCTCAGCCTCTCGGGTGCTGGGACGGCAGGTGGACGTTACCACACCTGCTGTCATTCCAGAGCTTTATGTTTATGGTTTAAGTTCGGTTTTAGAATGTGGGTGCTGAGATCTGTCCTCATTCAGAATGTAAGGTCAGAGGTCAAATGGCCTAGACGGGATGAAAACGGAACCAAAGGATGAAAACACACCGAGGCACAAAGCTGAGGGGGACACAGAACCCCAGATGGCCCCCTCGAGGGACATGCCCCCCTGTTCCCCAAAACAGAGGGCTGCAGACACTGGTGCGTCTCAGCCCCAAGGTGAGGGTGACCCTGGGTGGCAGCGTGGCTCTCTGCCCGCACGCGGGGGCCCCGCTGAGCTCATGCCTCTCCTTCCTGCTGCCTTCTGCAGGAAGGGTGAAAGCCTTGGATGGGTCGGTCCTTTCAGAGCTGAAAACCCATTTCACTTCCCTCCATGTAAATTATGAAGCCCGCCCAATTGTTTACAAGGTAAGGTGCAGCGTCCACACCGGGCGACTTGAGACTGAGCCATGGACCTCGTTGTGAGGTAGCCTGAGGCTGGGGTGGGGCCCTAGTACTGGCGAGCTGTTCTCAAAGGCAACTTGGGGGTTTGGAGAAGCCCAAGGGGGCGGAGTGCTGGTGGGCCATGCCCCCACTGCCCTCCCTGACCGGGCCCTCCAAAGCTGGGCTTCTCTCCTGCCTCCTCCAGCAGAGACGTCCTCTGGACAAAGGACTTGAGGATGGCAGGTGGCCTCCAGCCTCTATCTGCCAGGAGGGCTGAGGCAATTTTTAATTTCACATTTTCCCTGAGCATAGTCCTCCAAGCTCAGAGAGCTGAAGAATGACTCAGGCACAAGGCTGAATGAAGTAAACACTGAAAACTCAAAACCCTGAAGAGCAGCCTGAATTCTCCTTTTCCAGTCCTTTCTAAGCAATAGACATGTTCTAGTTACATATGATAAAAAGGCACATTTAAAGAGTGAAGTCCCTTCTGGCACTGCAGGAGGCCAGGTCTCTCCCACGAGGCTCCCTGGGTGCCTTCCAGTGCAATTGAGTCAAGAAAAGGCGTCTCCCCACCTCAGGGCCCAGTGCAGGTCTCCGTCCCGGTGCACACAGGACTGGGGCTTTTTGGTGTCAATAGGAGTTCACATATACACCTGGGGACACAGTGACACAGAGATGCCTACAAGGATGGTCACTGCCCACTGTTTGGAGCTTTTAAGTAAATATTAATAAAACCTCACAATGCAAAAAATAAATTCATGTTACTTAGGAGCCAGTGTCTCTAAACACTCCCTAGCAATTTTTCTGAATAAGATGATGAATTTTGTGAATTATAATAGCTTTAGAAATAATCTTAATGTAGTCCCATAAATTAGAACAAATTTTCAGCCAAAGGAAAAAAAAAGTCCACATCTATTTTAGGAACAGATTTGCTTGTCGCCTGTGATGTAACTACAGTACTGAAGACAGCTTTGCGGGGGGGCTCAGAGCAGCAGGTGCAAGATGTCATGAGGCCATCTGTGTCCAAGCCAGCTCCTGTCCAGTGGCCTGTAGTAACCCTGCTGCTCCGCGGGGCTGTTTGAGCTGACAACTATCCTCACTGGACAGAGGGAAAGACATTTCCAGAAAACAGAAGTAGAAAATACAGTTAATTCAGGCAATTTGGTGGAGCTTTTTCTGCTTCTTCATTAAGACAAAAATAGAGATGATTTTATGTACGGCACAGATGCATGGGCAGTGGGGGTGCTTGTGGTCTTGTAACTTCTTTCTGGGCATCAAGTTGCTTTTCATCATTTAAAATAAGTGAATAACATAGCTTCCACCACTCCAGAATAAAAACGCAGTGGTGAAGGCTGTCTGCTGTTTTAGCTAATGACTGAGAGAACACATATTTCATAAGGTCACGTGATACAAAATTTAAGACTTGCAAGTAATTAAAAACTTGTCCCAGACTAACAACTAAACGAAAAAAGAAATGAAATCTTTTCATGTTCCTGAAGGAGAGCAGGAGACAAAAAATATTTGATTTAGGAAAAGAAAAAAAAGGTGAAAATGAAGTCCCAAAAGGAATTAGATTTCTGTCTTTTGAAGGGTAATTCTCTACTCAGGTTTTCCTGAACTCCGATAAATGTTGTGATATAAAAATAACAAATAGGTACATTAATTGAAATATTCTTGAAGGCGTCTCAAAATTCCGCAGCACAATGGAACCCTAACCCCGTATTCTGAGCTCTGGTGAGTTGCTCCTTCCCCTTGCCCTAGATGTAGAGAGCGCATGTGTGTGTGTGTGTAAAGGAATTAAGATGTGTTCTGTACATGGACCAATTCCACACACTGCAAATGTGAGATTACAAAACTAAATTATAAAACATTTAAAGAATAAATGGAAACATTGAAATTGTGAGCTGACCCCACCTTTGTGTGGCTGTCCGGAGACTCGAGCACACTGTGAACCCTGCGTCCCCCCTGACCTGGAAGTTTCCACCCTGGCCATTTCTGGCTCTACTCTCCATTTAGGGGCCAATTTTGGACCCCAGAGGAGCTGGAACACAGTGATCCGAGGCCCAGGGATGGGCTGGGGAGGGGCTGAGTGAGGACAAGAGCAGGTAGCATCCTGTCTTTGTTCAAAGTTCTCACCATGGATTTCTCATTGCGCATTCATTTTTTAAAAAATGCTGCATCACGGATTTTTTGATGCCCACTTAAACTTCAGGGGCTCTCTGGCTCTGGGGGCCTGTGGACATGGCTTGTCCCTCTGGTCCTTCTCCCACTCATTGGACCAGGGGAGGCTCCTGCAAGTCCTCAGGTTCCTCTAGTGGTGCCCTTTCATTCTTTTTTTTTGGTGCTGGAGATTAGACCCAGGGCCTCACAGCTGGCAGCAAGCACTCTACCACTGAGCTCACCCGGGCCCTTCCGTTTTCATTCTGGGGTCTCGGTATGTTGCCCAGGCTGGCTGACCCGGAAGCTTCGCACCTTCTGCCCCCACCTCCCAGACAGCTGGGATGGGATGTGCACTGCGTGGCCCCTCGCCCTCCATTCTCCAAGACTGAAGGCGAGACCGAGAGGGCTGCGACCCGGCCAGGAAGCTCCCGGAGCCAGCTGGAGGCCACACTGTGTCTGTGAGTGTTCGGGGAGGGCTCTGGGTCCCAGGTGCCTTGGGGTTCACACTGCCAGGCTGGCCTGGGTGGGGAGGGCAGCTGCAGGGCGGCAGACACGGCTGGGCTGAGTGTGGCGGCAGTTTGACAGGCGCGGCGGAGCTCGGGCCAAGGGGGCTTATCCGATTAAAGTCGCGGGTGGATTTCGCTGGCAGAATGTAATTGCCCGCTGGCTCGGAGCCAGGCTCCTGAGTTTGGCACCCGATTGACTGCTCGCTGCCAGCCGCAGTGAGCAGGCGCTCCACGGCCACGGCGCTTCCGAGCCACGAGCCACGAGGACTGGAAACCAAATGTCCACAGGGACATCGACTTCCTCAAGTCTGTGCTTAAAATTATAATGAGAAAATAGAAAACAGATCTGCAAATTAATGGGCTCTGTCAGAGTGGTTATCAAGGATCATCTCACTGTGGGCACCAAGTGGGTCAGAGTGCCGACCCAGAACCCTCACCAACTGGGGATTCAGGAAGCAGGCCTGGCCAGGCAGCCTGTGTGGCAGTGTGCCAGGGGAGCCACAGGTGAGAGACAGGCCCCACGCACATCACCAGCACGTAAAGACGGGTCTCGGAGGCACGCGAGGTCGTGCCGGCATCAGGGAGGACTCCGGCCTCAGCCTCTCCCTCCCACTCCCTGTCCTGGACCCTCCCTACTCTCTGTCTCCTCTCCATCCTCTTCTGCCCTGCAGTCGGGGCCACACCATCTAGGGCAGAGGCAGTTAGCACCAGAGCTTGCAGCTGGAACTCCCACACCTGAGCTTGTCTGGAGTGGGCCAGTGCCCTGGACTCATAATGACCATCACCGAATGCTGGTGACAAGCTCACCAGGGCTGTGCGTCTTTAGCTGGAGCATGTGAGTCCAGCCTTATGGTGGTCTGGCCTTGGAAGCAGGTGAGATTTTGTTCTACTTAGAGATCTTGTATCTCTTTTCTCATCCTGCCTTTGGAGCTATGGAAAGATAAATTGACAGATGGCATTCTAGGGGCCTAAGAACAACCAGTGCAGCCTCCAAAACTTGTGTGATGAATCCATTTCCAAAGATGGGCACGTCAAGTGGTACCCACATGAGAGCATAGGTCAGCTTTCCATCCCAGGCAGAGTCCTAGGACAGCTTTTAAACAGATTTAGAAACTCCCAAGTACAAGGAAGAACGCAATCAATCAAATAATTGCTATTTAATAAAGACACCAACATTGGTGTCTTGTATTTGTGTATGTACGGTCTGTGCCATCTCGGGAGGGCCACTCTCCAGCCCGCAAAGTGTAGTTTCTGCGAGAATCAGCCTGGTAAACTGAGAGCTGTGTGTGGTCTTTTCATCCCCCTTCCCTGCATTTCCCATTTGTCTGGTTTGGCACTGGGATCCAACCTGCTTGTCTGTTGGATAGGACAGCGCTCACAAAGGGACCCTCCGAAGACGGATGAGCCACCCTGGGGGAGCGCGGTTAAGGAGAGAGCTTCATGGAAGGGCCTGGTTCATGTGGAGTGACCCACGGAGACTGGCCAGGGCTGCCCTGGTTCCCTGTCCCTGGGTGCACCGTCATCTTGGGGGGTCCTGGTGGGGCCACCTGTGGGTGCTTCCTTAAACAGGCTCCCCGGGCTCCCGGCATGATGTGGCAGGATGTCCTGTTAGGACTGTCTGATTTACAAAGAGTTGGGAATTTTATGGTTAGTGAACCTGAAAATATGAACGAACCTGGAGACTGAAAGGAAGCATCCTGTTTAACGCTGGGAAATCATGTCTTGCTTGGCACCTGCTGGCTCTGCATTTTGGAAGCAGAGGAAATACACTGAGAACACAGCAGAAGCTGCTCTGGCTGGAAAGAACGGGGGAGCAGACATCCTGAGCTGGCAGTGTGAGCTCCTGGGTCACTTTCGCCCTCTGAACTGGTCTGAGCGTGGCTCTTCCTGGATCTCCCACCTGGCCCTTGGTGGCTCAGAGGTGACACCCAGACTTCTCCTGGCCCGTAGTGCACCCTCAGGAGCATAGCTGGTCTGTGTGCATGAGCCGTGGAGGATGGTGCCAGGCCCTGAGGACTCAGGGTGCATTCCTTCCTAGGAGCTGAATGTTCCCCAGGGGCTGTTTATCTGATCGTTAGTAGGATGAGGGTAAGGGTGCTCCTTACTCAGCAGGCTGCGTGGAAGTAAACCTGCCAGCCTGTACCTTTGAAAGCAGCCGGCCTCACAAACCTGTGGAATGGGCCCGAGGGTCCCAGCGCTAGGCTTCCGTGGGCCAGGCAGTGCTGCTGTGCGAGCTCCTATCTTTCTTCGTATGCTGCAGACGCACGCCTGAAGACACACGGTGCAGCCAGCACCTTCACTTTCCAGCACAGGAAGCAGGAGGTGTGCGGCTGAGGGTCGCTGAGGTAGAAGCGCTTTGTTACTGAGTCTGCACCCTCCTGGCGACAGGTGAGCATGCAGATCATGGCCCTACAGCATCTGCAACAGTCTACTTTAATCTCTCGTTGTCATTTTTGATGTGGTTTTCATGACAGAGAAATGTTTCCCTCCACCCCGCCTGTTAATGAGAAGCACATTTAAGTTACTGTCCTGCAAGTTTGAGGGGCTGGAAACGTCTGTGAGAATTCTCGATAATTGCTGATTAAAATCCCCTTTGGAGTCAGTATGCAGCTGGGATTTCCCCCTCTTTTTCCCTGTTTCTTTGCACTCTTGGTGAGAAGAACCAGCCTGGCTCTCACTGTCACGAACACTCCCTCCCATGGGGCAGGGCCCCTGGTGTCCGTGACCCAGAGAATGGGCAGAGGCGTTTGTGGAGGACACACACGGGGGATGCTGGGTCCCCACTCACAGTTTTTATCAGCTTAGTGGCAGCCGCTCAAGTGGAATTACAGCTGCTATTATGCTCCATTACAAACGCCAAGCGATTTGCCTCTGCTGAGACTCACACCAGCGGCTGCTCCAGCCAGCGGTCCGCTTTGTGTGTGTGTGCTTAAGAAATTGCAGGAGAGGGCGGTTCATTCTTTCAGTCTTTGATTCAATTGAATCATCTGAAACTGAGAATAAAGGCTTTTCAGGAGAAGATTCAGGTTGCAAAAACTATAAATCGTATCTTTTGACTCCGGAGCTAGAGTATGTTAGGAACTGTGGCTAAAATAGGAGGTTGCCTGCTCTCCCGCTCGCCACTTCTTTTATAGTTTTAAAAATGGGAGGAGGGAGCACTAGTTAGGAGAGGAAACCTGTTGTTTTGCAAATAGTTTGAAGGCATTTATTTTTGAGTGAGTGGAATAAAACCATATAAAACTGGTTTGCTTCCAATTAAGCAGTGTGAGCACATCTCGGCGGTCTCCAAAGGTCTTAGGTAGGGAACTAGTTATAAATGTTAGACCTACACCAGGGCCGGCTCCGTACATGACTAGGAGTAAGTGACATATGTTTATCTTCTCACGTTATTAAAATTAATAGCATAGGGTTGCTGTAGGCTCTGCGGTCCTTGGGTGTAACTGCTTTTTCCTTTATTCTGAAAAGATTCGTTGTTCAGCTGCCAGGGGACAGAGGGACGAGGCATAATAGCATAGCTAAAGCTTTAATTACCGCCTGAAAACTTTTGTCCTTCACTTTGAATTTGCTTTTGTAGGCTTAAGGGGGACTTTTAAGGAGCCTGGACCAGTCTTGTAAACTTCAAAAATAACCCTGGATTTATGTGTGGCCACTGCACAAAGGCACGGCGGCCGTCTCCTTGGACTTACAGGTTCACGTAAGCCAGAAGCCATAAGAAGCTGGAAGTCATTCACATCTGAGGGCTGTTGGTGGCCTCCATAGGGAGAGGGAGAGGCAGAGTCGGAAGTGTCTGGGGGGCAGGTGCAGCACGGGAAGCCTCCCTCATCCCTCCAGAGCCCAAATCTTGGAAGGCCTAGGAGACAATGACGAGGACAAAGTTCAGCATGGTGTCCCTGGACCCTGAACCTGCTAGGAGGACCAGCGGACCAAGAGAAGATCTCCCGTCCGTGCCAGTGCGGCTCTGTGGGAGACACTGGGAGCAGCAGACGGCACTAGGAACCCTGGGAAGGAGCCCTTGTCGCTTTCCAAGGCCACATCCAGAATTTTCTGCCCAAACTAAGTTAATTATACCAGAACAAATGAAGTGTTACGGTTTCATCACAGAAAAAAAAGTTCTTGCATTTTTGTGACGTTTTCTTTGCAGGGCAAAAACATCCTGAAATAGGACCGGCCTGGGCCAGAGTGAGCTCGAGGCTGTCTAAAGTGCACAGGGAAACTCTGTCTCAAAAAGACCAAGAAATGAAAATAAAAAACAAAAACCAAAACATCCCGAAGTGTCAGTCTGTGCTCCTGGGCTTTCTGCCCAAGTCTAAGAGCTCGGTTGTTCCCATGGCAGCTCCCGTGGATAAGATGGGGAAAGGCTGGGCTCTTGCTTCACAGCTGTGTCTCCCTTTGGTAAAGGGCAGCCCTCAGATAGACCAGGGTCTCTCCAACCCTCGAGCTCCTGCAGCACTCTGGACGCTGCCCTGCATTTGGGAGAATCCAGCCCAAACCACACTCGTTTTGTGAGCACAGGTTTCTCAGCCCTCTGTGTTTCCTCTTCTCAAGGTGACCCGTGGCATCCAAGGGTTATCAGTTCACTGTGCTCCTCTGTGGTGAGGGAAGAAGACACACTCGGCTGGTGGGCTGGTGTGGAGCGGATGCTGCCTGTGACCTTGAGCTGGGCCCTAGATCCAAGGAAATGGGCTCCACGTCTATGGGGTGTTGTGAGGTTTGGTAGCACAACTCAAACTGGAAGAATCACAGTTACGTAAACAAAACCCTGTAATTTCTTAATGTTTCTCAAGGAAAGATCAGAATATTTTCACATAAACTGGTTTTCAGCTTGGCAAATGTCTTCTTTCGCAGTGCGCTCGCAGGTTGAGGAGCTCGCTGGTGCAGGACCCTCACAAGCACAGCCGACACCTTTAGTGTCGGTCGCCGTGTGAGATTGCTTTGCTCTCAACTGCTGATCGTAAACACTGCCCTGCTAAAGGAAACTCAGAGTCACGATGCACAACTCCTAGGTGTTGGTAAGATGTATCCATAGATAATAATTCAATTTAAAATCTAATTATTAGGTAACAGCAGATCTGCTGGATAGTTAACATTTCTGTTCACCAATACTTCTATTTGCCAACATTGTGATTTGCAAACAGAAGCATTCAGTGAAATTTTGCTTCCGTTCAAAAGCTCCCCGTCAGGTGGAGAGCAGCACCTCGGGCCTCTTCCCTGCCCGAGCACAAACGCAGGCGTCTCCGTCTCCCCCAGAACGTGGAACAAATTAAGTTTGTGAACCAAGGCACCTTTGTATTCGTGCTTGTAAATGTTTGTAGTTTGGGGGTCTATATATTTAAATGCAATTACTCATAAATTGTTCTGAAACTAATGAGGATATTTTCAGATTAATTGGAGGAAAAGCTCAAAAATATTTACAGTAGTCATTGTAAAAAAACCACTCAATTGTTTAAGACCAACAAACAATTCTCTGACTTTGGGGAGGGAAAAGCTAGGAGATGTGAACCTTTATGACAGTAGGGAGGTGGGACGAGGTGGAGGCAGTGAATCTTTCATTTTTAATTATTTTGGATGAAACATTACAAAAGAAAAGCACCGCCTGGGCAAACAAAGCCATCCCTGCTTCATCAGCTGCCACTGAAAACTTGGCGCTGGCCTTCGCAGGCTCCCGTTTTAGGCCGTTCCATCTGGGTGGTTGCTGGGCCTCCTGGGTGGCACCGGGGGTCGGAGAGGGACCCCAGCCCTGTCTGGGAGCCCAGGTGTCGTGGGCACTGTGGCTCCGTGGTCGTCCTTCTGCTTTGCCCCACCGCCTTGGGGACAGACTGCTGTGGGACGTGGCCAGGGAGAAGTTGCTGAGGATTTTGCCCCTCACAGTTCACCATGGGCTGTGAGGAACGCACAGTAGTTTCTAATGAGCTCCCTCCACTCGGGGGCAGGAGGAGGGCGTGTCTCACCATCTGTGTCCTATTTGCTTGAGCAGGGTAATGATGAGGTTGAAAAGCCACTTAAATGTTAACTCCGACCCCCTTTCCTCCGATTTCCCCCTTTTGCGTGTGCATAACTCTTCCTAAGATTTCCTGAGTGCTGACCTGTTGCATCCATAATTTCAACCCTAGGCGTAAATTTAATTTGGAAATCTCAAGCTATGTTACCTGAGGTGTTCTTGGTTAGGGAAGTTGGGGGGCACAGAAAGACCTTTTGCCTGGTCCTCCTCCTGCACCCAGGCTAATTACGCCAGAGGAGCGCAGACCTGGGAGGCGCAGGAGGGTAATCGCATGCATTCTTCCCCCGCGACCCCAGACGCCCCTCTCTGATGTCACCTCGTTTTAAAGCGCGTTGTCTGCGATTTGTGTTGCAGACTTGGCCGTTAACTGAGCTCCATCAGGCACCAGACTCAGGAAATGCGAGTGGCTCCCAGGAGAAGGCTCTGCCGGGCTGCACGGTAACGTGGCCTGACAGCCGCGGGTTAGTTCCCGAGGAAGTCTTGGCCCGACGCTGGTTTCATTTTTGATCCAAGGAAGAGTTAAAGTTCATCATGGAGGAAAATATTTTTCACACAAAAATGAAGAATTCGTAATCATCTAGGCCAGAATAATGACTTTAATTACCTTCCAAACAGTTATAGACAATTACATTAACACTCCAATCAGCGGGAACACCAAGTCCTCCGCCAGGGCGGGCGGGCGCGCGCGTCTCTGGTGGGGACACCAGGACTGAGGCTCCGGACGCGCGTCCCTCCCTCCGCGCCCTTTTGCCCTGCTGGCAGCTACTGTACCTCATGATTTAAACATGGACATTTCTAATTAAATGAGAGCTCAGCTGCACTCTTGAACTAATTTATAACATTTGATTTGAAATGTAATAGCTTCAATCTCCATCTGATTAAAAACAGTCATGTACTGTACACGGTTACCATTTTGATGCTCCAACGTGCAGTTTTTATTTTTACATTCCCCTTCTACACAGCTGTCCAACTAACATCATCCACTTTTTTAAAGTTTCTGTGTGTGTGAGTACGGGCCGAGCGGTCCTGGCGGGCAAAGTATCAGCGGAAACTGCTGTTTTCAGAAGGGTCCTGGGTGCTGCTCGCTGGCGAGTGACCCCTTCCAGGGCCACCGACTTCAGAGAACTTCGTTGTTAACTTTCTTTGGGACAGAAGGTAACACAGGACATCCTGGTGACACCGATGGGCATAGCTAGCCAGGCAGCGCCCCTGAGGTCACTTCTACCTTCAGGCTGGATTAGGCCGGCTGGTCAGTTTCCAGCCGGCGCTTTTGCCTGTGCATGATGGAAACACGCATCGCTCACGCGCAGCTTTCTCTGGAGAGCTTCTAGAACACCGGGAGAGCGCCACCGGGTGGGAGCTGTCTGGTGGAGGACCGAGGCCTGCAGGGCTGTGAGCTCAGGCGGGCGGGCAGGGCGGGATGGGAGAGGGCTGGGCCCGCAGCCCTGGTCCTGCAGCCTCAGCTGCTGGCTGCGGAGGGAGCTGGCGCCTGACCCAGGACAGTGGGCGCCGCGCAGCGTTTCAGTGGAGCAAAGGGGGCGGCTGGCTTTGATGCCGGGTGATGCCATGGCCTGCGTGGAGGACGATGGATGTGGCCAGGGCAGAAGCAGGCGGTCTCAGAGGAGAAGCTGAGGCACCTGTGGCTGCACCAGGGACACCCGGGGGGGGGGGCTGGGCGGCAGCGAGGGGCGGACGGCGTGGGCGCTCGGAGCAGTGAAGACGGACTTGGGGCAGCGCAGGAGCCGCCCTCCCCGCTGCCACCCGACTGTGGGGTCAGTGGCTTAGAGCTCAGCAGAGGCACAGGCGGTACAGATGTTCTCAACAGTTTGGTCTTTGGCTTTTTATTTAGTTTTGGGTGCCGGGGATTGAACCCACCACCTCGCACTTGCCAGCTGCAGCTTGTGCAGCTGAGCTAAATCTCCAGCACCGGATGTCATTTGGTATAAAAACCACTTTTGATGGTGTAAGCCGTATCATCTCATGTTTATTTCTATTCTGTCTGTTTTCTTTTCTCCCTCCTTTTTCTTTCTTTCCAGCTTTTTGGTTTTTTAACATCAAAATGTGTCTAAAAGTTAAATGTCCTAGAGGCCTTATTCCAAAGAATCTCAAATACCTCGTTGTGCCCTTCTCTCCCCACCCTGGAGTTTCCTCTCACAGAGCCAAGCGCGGGCAACTCGGAGGCTGTCACTTCAGTGCAGAGGCCTCAATGTCACACTGCGCTGGCCACACACTTGTTGGTCTTCCAGTGTTAGGCATTATCTATGGACTTCTCAGGGCAGCAGATGGAGACTTAACTTCCTGTCACCCCGGCCGATGCCACACTCACACTCACACGTGCACTCACACTCTATGCACTTCTCCCTGTAGTGATATCAAAACTTAATATTCAGCAGTTCCATTACTATAATTATATAAATATTCACAATCAGTCATTCAGAACGTTATTATTTTACCTTTCCTGCAAAACTTCTTGCTGGAATTGAGTATCTTTTTCTTGCTTGTTTAGTTGGTGTTTTGTACGCACTGGTGCACTGTGTGGCGATGTCTCCGTGCACAGTGGACTGCACGACGGTGTATGTGCCACATAGTCTAGAGGTACAGTAGGTCACAGTGCCCCAAAGTTTGCATGAGAACACTCTACCCTTTTTACACAGTGACAGAATCCCGAAATGACGCGTTTCTTAGAATGCATCCCCAATGTGGAGCCCGCACACCTACACTTCTCGCGGGCCTCACCCCAAATTCTCAAGTGAGTAACTACATCTCTCCACACATCTGGACAGAGCAGCGCCTGCACTGGGTGGCCACCAATTTCATCTTCTTAAGGAGATAATTCTAGAACTCTCTGGCCACCTGCACCCTGCACAGAGGGGCGGCTGTCATCCTCTCCCTTTGCCAGCTCGAGTGTTCCCGTCCTCTCCCACCAGGTCAGGGTCCCCTGCCCCCAGAGCCCAAGTAATCCTCTCTCTCTGTTTCCATCCCTCTCATTCTCTGTCTCTGTCTCTCTCTCTTTCCTGGCTTAGGTTATGTCCTTGTGGGGGTGGAATGCATCCCTAGTTGTTCTCTACAATAAAATATAAAGGACAGTTTTGAGACTTTGCATTTCTTAAGATGTCGTTACTCTGCTTCCACAATTGTTAGCTATGGAATCTGGATTAGAAATAACTTTGCTTTGGAGACCTTGTGTCATTGGGTTCTTATGTCCATGTGGCTATTAAGACTTCTGAAGCATCTTTGATTTCTTTCTTTTTTTTCTTTTGTTTTTGATACAGGGTCTCACTATGCAGTTCAGGCTGGCCTTGAGCTCACTTTGTAATCCAGGCTGCTCTCAAACTTGCAACGATCCTCCTGCCTCAGCCTTCTGAGTACTGGGATTACAGGTGTGAGCCACCACACCTGGCTGATTTCTGATCTGTTGTATGTGACTGGATATTTTTCCCTAGAAGCTCATGAGATTTCCTCTTGGTCCCCAGGGTTCTGAGATTTCTGTGATGTGAGTCTCTGTGACATACCTCTGTGTGAGCCTCTTTTCATTACGATGGGTACTTACTGGACAACGTAATTCCTGAAACTCTTGTTCTTCAGTGCTGGAAAATTCTCTTTAGTTAATCCATTGATTTCTTTCATTTTCTCAGTCCTTTCTAGAAACAACATTTGGATTTAGAGCTCTTCATTTACTTTCTATCAGTTTATATTTTTATAATATTTTCTAGCATATTCCTTATGCTTCATATCCCAGATCTTCAGTAAAATTTTGTTTTCTCCTATATTGATTTCTGAGTGCTTTTGTTTATTCTCTTTTTCATTTCCTTTTTAAAAATCACACCCTGGCATCGCTTCACCAGTGCATCACAAAAGGTAATTCCGGCCTCCTCTTCCCGTGCAGCGTCTCGTCCTCCCCGCCCTGACAGGTGCTTTCCTGTGCTGTTTCCCTCGGGTGCCAGGTCAGTTGGTCCCAGCTGGCTGGTGACTCTGAGTGCACATCAGTGGACACCTTGTGGATGCACGTCCCGAGTGTGGACGCTGTCTGTCTGATGCAGGGCGATCTGGCAGGGAATCCTCATGTCTGTGTCTTTCACCCTTCCCTCTGGGATGCTGAGTTCTTCGGAGAAGTATCTGCTAGTCCAGCCTGCAGCACCGACGTGGGCCCCAGTGCCGAGGCGTGGGCTGAGAGGACTTGGCACTCAGTGCGCCGTGTTCTCTGAGCACCTCTCTTTTCAGCAATGCCCAGGATGTCCAGCCGGACACCCGGGTTTGCCTCTGGCATGCTCCAGGGCGGGAGAAGCGGGCACCGGCTGCAGGCAGGGGTGGGGACCGGCTGTCGCAGAGACTCCCCCAGGCTTCCGGGCGCGCACCCCTCACCTCCTCCCGGTGGGCTTCCACAGCTGCTGCTCCTCGGGCCTTTGCGGCCGCGGTCAGCTTGCTTCCCTGCTGCCCCTCAGCCGCCTGCCTCTGTTCTGTCACCGCCTGCTCATGTGTTGTTCCCTCCCCCAGCGCAGTGCCTCTTCTTCTGTGGCTGTGTATTTGAGGGAGTTAGTGCTCTACGAGGAATCTTTTTGCCATTTTGTCTTGGTGTTTTTGGGAAGAAACATATGGGTCCACACTCTTATCTTTAGCTGAAGTCTTTAATTACTGGTGATTTTTAAATATCTTGGATCCTTCAGTGAGTTCATCAAATTTAGGATCCCTGGATCCCGGATTTACAGGAATGCTCCCCTTTGAACTGAGCTAGAATTCCATGCTGGCGCTATGCAGCCTGAGTGTCTGGACTTTTCTGTGCACATCACGCAGCTTGTGCCGGGACTCCCTGGACCACCCTGCTCCTATGTGTCTTCCCCGCCTCCATCACTAACTCTCCCGAGCAGGAGCCAGGCTGGGGCTCCTGATGTGCACACATGAGCTTTCAGGAGAGGACCAAGTGGAGGCGGAGGGAGCTGACGCCCAGATGCCTTGGCAAGTCCCCCAGCGATTTCCCAGGGAACGCGGGGCTGCCTATCTCTCAGGCAGGTTGAGAACATTCAACTTTAAAATTAATCAGTGCCGTTGCTATGAAGTTTGTAAATTATATGGAAATTAGCTATTTAAAATGTCATCCATCTGAGGCAACAATGTTTATTCTGTGCCATGGCGAGAGAGGTTAATTATTTAGGAGACAGGAGAGAAAAGCACGAGTAAGGAGGTGATATGGATGGAGAGACAGCTCTTTAGGTTTACTTTTTGAACTTCTCTTCAAATATATAAAACCGCAGTGAGTTTACCCAGAATCACCGGCCTGTGGACATCGCCTCATGCATCCTGAGACTTGGAGGACGCGTATGTGGCACCTCGGGACCCTGAACACCAACCAGAGCCGCTTTGCGCTCCAGGGGCTTTTGTGTTCTGGTTCTCCGATCGCCCGGAGACTGCCTCGTGGGATTGGGTCCTTGTTCGTCAGCTCGGCTCCTGCTGTGCCTCCCGCCCTCACTGCCACAGCGTGGAAAGACTCACAGCACTTAGTAAGAATCACAGGACACGGCCATCACACCCTGGAAAGTGCTGAACCTAGGAAGACGGATTCCAGTGACTTCACCATTGGGGTCACCCTTGGGGGACAGTTACCCGCTTGTTCACAGATGCAGATTACGACCTGCTTGGTACACGCAAGAGGGGCACAGTTACTGCTGTGACACAGAGGTACCACGAGGAAGGGCAAGCACCTGGGAGGCCTGAGACCAGGTGTGGATGAACCCAGCTGCGCTTGGCAGAGCCAAGGAGTGGGACACCACGAGGCCCATTTTGCAGGACCAGGTCCCAGCTTAATTAACACAGCTGAGACCACCTTGACAGCTCACCCTTGGGTGGGCTCTTGCTCTGTGTCTGTCTCATTCTTGATGGTCACTGAACATCAATAAAAGTCCTAGAAG